AAACACCAATTATGCCGCCAAAATGCACCAAAAACCCCCGGGAAAAAAATGCCCCGGGCCCCAATATCACAGAAATTAAGACCACCTACACGCCAGAAATTAGAAAAATATTTATGAAAAATCATGATATTTAGAAACTTACATGTGAAATGTGAACTGCAGTAACCGGAAGCGAATGACCGTAGAGTGATACAAAAAATTTGAATGTATCTGCAAAATACACGCGAGCTGTGTTATCCAGCAGACCAATAGCCAGAAAACGCGAATCATTGCTAGCAGCTAGGCACAGTGCTTCGTCGGGAACCTCGAGAATTCGACAGCGTTTGAACGAGAGAAGTTTCCTGAAAAACTGCATAATTATATATGCATTATACAAAATAATTGGCCAATGCACGGCCTGCCCGTGCGAAGATGCGTTTTTTGCATAGTTCTCCGCAGTTTTTGTTGCTGCCGGCACCGGCTTTTTCGGCAAATGCTTCTAGCTAAACAAATTAAGACTGGCCGCCAGTACTGTCAGAAAACATCCCCTTAAAATTTTAGCTTTCTAGCTTCCCTGGCATCTGAGTTAGCAACTTACTGGAAAAAAATTTTCACGGGCCCGTGCGTGTTTACCACGCATACCTGAGAGTTGGGTTTGAGCTGAATGAAACTTAGGTGGACGAAGTATATCCTCTTAAAATTGCAGTCCTCTAGTTTATAAGATTCCCGAGTTATGAACTTACCCGAAAAAAACTTTGGCGGGCCCGCACGTGGGTACCACGCGGGTAATGGCGCCAATTTTTGGGATTGGGGCCCGTACATGCATGTAAATTAAATTCCCAAAATTTCAGCTCTATAGCTTTTGTAGGTATTGAGATGAAAAACCGTAACAGACACACACACACGGACACACAGACAACCCCTCGTCAATATGTGTTTTCCGCACTGCATAGCTGCAAAAAACGCATAAAAAATGATGTAGCAATACATGTCTGGGGACATTGTTCATGCTCATTCTATGATGAAATTTGTCAGTGCTAATCAACAGTAGGGATGCCTTTTGGCCTTTCCTTCGGAAATTTTGCAAAATTTGTACAGTGACCTCAGCACCGCATTCTTTTTTAAGGGTCTGGAACGTAATTGTCCTGTTTGATGAATAAATTTGCCACATCGATTTGTCACACAAAAGCGGTAAAAATCGGCAAATTACAAGAATTACTAGATTTGAAACAAAGAAAAAAAGCACATAAACCTCATAGGGCAGTCTTTGGCCATGTATTTCGAAGAGTGGGTGATAAAATGTACCGTTTTTTGTTACGAATCAGCCAAATTTTCTCAGTTCTTCAATTAAAGATCAGGACTGAGATTTTAGAGGTTCAGCTCAACCGAAATTTGGGTAACTCGGGAACTGAGAAAGCTGGGAACCTGCGATTTCAATGGAATGGTCCCTGTCCAATTATAGCGTGGACAATTAACTTCCCGAAATTCGAGGACCAGCATGTGCAAGAGGTTTCTAGCTAGCGGAATTTCGAGTGAGGTTCAGTTCAACTTAAGTTCTTGGGGGTGCAAGATGCATAAATAATTACACATAGTTAAAATCCCCACTTAAAATCCTAACGTTCGGAAGCCCCCGAATGGCGGGAGATGTCAGCAGCAACTATTCGTGATAAAGGTATTTTTCTCGCTCTTTTCGAAGCTTGCTTACAAGAATCTATCGTTTTCATGATTTCTAAAACAGCATTTCATCACAAACAGCTCTTTGGGAAAAAAAAAATTTGCAAAAAATACCTCGTTCCCTCAGTTACAAGCTCGTAATTCCAGTATTGGACCTTCTTGTCCATTCCACATGAGATGAATCCTTTCTAAAATATGGCAAATGTAAAGAATAACTGTATGAACAGTGCAAATTGGAACCCTACCCAAAATTCATGATCAAAAATACGGCCACAAAAATACAGCTCACAGTCCAGAAGGTCCCTG